GTTGCATGGAAAGCAATGTCAAAAAAGAAGAGATACTTAACCTTCCTAGGCATAATTTATAATATAAAGCCCCCAAACCATAAAACTACTGGTGGAAATCACTGAAGAGACACTTCAAGATGCTGGAGTAGGCAAAGATTTATTGAATAAAACCCCTAAAGCAAGTGCAATAACAACAAAATAGATAAGTACAATTAATCAAGCTAAAAAACCAGGGATGAGGGGGAAACAATAAATAAACAATGTATAGAATGGGAGAAAATATTTGCAAACTATGTTTTGGACAAAGGATTGACAACTAGAATATGTAAGGAACTCAAATAGCTCATCTTAAAAATAACAAAAAACTCGGGAACCAGCAGTTAGCGTAATGGCTATGTCGCTGGACTCCCACATAGTCGACTGCGGTTCATGTCCCGGACCCGGTGGCTTAAAACTCACACCAGGCGCGTGTGCATTGGTGCCCAAGATCCCAAGAGGAGAATGGAGGAGTAGGGATTGCGGCGTGACCATCCCCCCAGGGGGTGATTTCTCGCTTTCTGTCTCTAATGTCTCTCTCTGTCTGTCTGTCTGGCGAGCGCACGCGCCCTATAGCGAAAATCTCTCCAAAAAAAATAAATAAATAAAAATAACAAAAACTCCAGCACAACAAAATGGTAATTGACCTGAACAGCTAACTCTCAAAGGAAGACTTACAAATGGCTAAAAAAAAATGAAAATGTGTACAACTTTTCTTGTCATAAGGGAAATGCAAATCAAAATCATACTGAGATATCACTTAACCCCAGTCAAAATAGCTATGATAAAAAAAATAATAAAAAAAAGTAACAAATGCTGACAAGTTAGCAGAGAAAAATTAACACTTCTGCGCTACTGGTGGGAATATACATTAGTACAACCACAGTGAAAAACAGTATGGAAATTCCTTAGGAATCTAAAAATAAAATTACTGTTAGAATCAGCTATTCTACCATTGCTTATATACCCAAAAGATAAGAAATCACTAAGAGAGGTATTTTTACATCCATGTTATTGCAGCATTATTCGTAATGGTTAAATCAGCATAGAAATCAACATACGGTACCAGCAACCAATCACTGGATTGGGAAAACATGCTACATAACACAATGAAATAGTACTCAGGCATAAAAAGCAACAAAATTCTGTTTTTGAAACAAAGTAGATGAGTCCCAGAAGATATGATGCCAAGTGAAATAAGCCAGACTATGAAAGACAATACCATATGCTCCTGTTTAACATACACCAAACGTTCACACTTTATAGCAGAAACTGAAGGACTGGAAAACATAAAGAAAAAAACAGGAGTGGTAGATAATAGGAGGTGATTGGGGGGCAATAGGCCCTGGTTAATGAGAGAATTTATCATTGACACAGGAATACATGTACATAAAGGGAAGAAACTGTGGGATGGTGTCTCACAGCAGATTAAAAATATATATATATGGACAATTTAATACATACTTTTAAAGAACCTAGTAGAAGTATTTAATAATGTGTACAACATAATGTAATATTTAATGTTAAAGAACATTAATGTGGGTATGTTTTTTATCGGATTATTGTACAGTGCTTGCATGTTTTTAACAAACATACTGTATCCCATGATGATATACACTGAGTATAAATAAATCAGAAATCATAATTTTAAGACTAACTAAATAAAATTGTATATAATTAGATAGCTTTAAGGAACTAAGTTTGACTTTCTGGAGCCAATACTTACAAAGCCCTCTTGGAAAAATTAGCCTGGTAGTTACAGGATTCCCAGCATCACAGACAAGCGAGGAATGTCATTTTATGGCATGCCTGAAACCTTTGGGTATTTGATGGGCATGGAGAAGAAAGGAATTTTCCCAAATCTAAAGGTACTTCAGGAATAACCTGGTTGCAAATTGTGGGGTTGGCTTCCTAGCCTTTACGAGAAATTGCATCAAAGCAAACTTTTAAAAGGTATATGGGTCAATTGCCATTCTTGATGCACTTATGTGAATAATTAGGCCAAGTCTAATGAGATGAAACTTATTTTGTAAACAAGAATAGCCTTTAAGGTTGTGCTATATCAAAAGAGGGGTGACTACAGAGAGAAATTTTTGTTTTAGTGGAAAACAATGGCACACCTTTGTGGATGATTAAATTCTGTTCTGTTCATTCTCTTGAAGTTTTATTATATATCTGTAACCTGGACTGGATCCTGTCATCTTGCAAAACTTCAAGGAGAATGAATAGAACAAAATTTAATAATCTACAAAGGTGTGCCATCATTTTCCTGTCATCTTGCATTTTTGTCGTTTCTCCTAGTTAAATGTAATATCTGGCTGCTCTCTCTAAAGTACCATTCTTAAATTTTTTCTTACCCTCCTGAATTAAAGACTTAAAACTAAAACTATCTAAAGAAACCTTGTGACTTGAAGCCAGATGCCTTCATGCTGTGTTCCAGGAAATAACCATAATTATGACACTGATGTCTAGGCCATCACCAAGATATTCAAATTGTACCCTGGGAAATTTATCAGCCATTGTTCTCAGTCCATCATCTAAAGATATCTTAAGCCCAGCATCTAGAGCTGTCCTTGGTGACCTGTGCTGGACTCAGAAACAGTTTATATAATAGTCTGCTCCAATTACTAAACTTTGTTTTTCAGAGCCAGTAAGTGGCATAGTAGTTAAGGCACTGGACTCCCACATGGCCAACCATGGTTCAAGTCCTGGACCCAGAGGCTTGAAACTCATACCAGGTGTTTTTGCTGTGTGCTCAGAGTCCCAAGGACAGAATGAAGGAAAAGTGACTGAGGTGCGGCAGTCCCTCCCGGGGGAGATGACTTCTCACTTTCTGTCTATCTTTCTGAAGAGTGTACACATGCTATAGCAAATTTTTTAAGCCACACCTTATTTTTAACATTTTTATAGGAATTAGGCAGATACATACCAAAACGGCAAGTTGCAGACCAGTAATATTGCATATAGTATGATCACAATAGTGCAAGGCAAAATATTACAAAATACACATTTAAAACATTCATACTTCTATTTGAATATATTTATATGTTTGTGCATATACAGAGTAGAGAAATGTATACATAGACAATTTTTTGGACAAGGTTAGTTTGGGGAGATAAGCAATGGGAGATATTTTAAAGGATGGATTTATTTATTTTCTATATTACATTTATGTGTAGCTGGAATTAACTGAGAAAACTAAAAAAACTCTTAGTACTAATTTTAACACATGTTAATTTCAGATATACTATAACACACAAGAGGACTTCAAGAAGTTGTAGAAAATGAAACTAAAGCACAAATATATTTTGGTGCAAGAAAAATAGAAAACAATGTATAATTTTTATAATATCTATTTTCCAAAGCTTTTTAAAGATCTCCCTTGTATGTACTTCATATTTTGATTTGGTAACTATTTTGTTGATTTTTCTAGTATGTTGTTTTGTTCTTGTCCTTAACTATATTCTGAAATTAAGAATCTCTAAATTAGGATAAAAGCACATATTTCTGGACATTTTCAGATAGCTAGCCAGGAAGCAGCATCTTGTGATAGTTTCTCACATTTCTGGGAACTTGCATAACACTTTACATGTTCTTTTTTCATTTTTTTTTTAATTTGCCAGAGGGCATGTGTACTTGCTAGAGATGGGAGAGGAAAAGGGAGGAGTCTAAGAAAACCCCTCCCATAGGGATGGTCATGCCACAATCCCTTTTTCTTCCATTTTCCCAGCCTTTAGGATTCCAGGACTGCACACTTGCACCTAGTGTGCTTCCGAAGCTGCCAGGGCCAAGACTCAAACCACAGGGTCAGCCATGTATGATGCAGCCTCTGTAACCACCATGCCACAGGTTGTTCCTATATGCGCCCTTCTTTATAACATTTACCAATAATCATGTGTTAAAACATTTTGTGTATGTTTTTATGTCCAGTTACATGCTGCATTATAATGTTTTGGTCAACAACAGACCATGTATACCACCATAGTCCCATAAAATTATAATAAGCTATACCATATGGCCTAGGTATCTAGGTTTGTGTAAGTAAATTCTATGATGTTTAAGCAACAATGACATTGCCTAATGACACATCTATCAGAATGCTTCCTACTGTTAAGTGATGCATGACCATACAGTATCATAATATCTTATCCTCCTAATAATAAATAACTTAAGGGCAAAATTTATGCTGGGGGCCAGCTAGTGGCATGGTGGTTAAGTGTGCTGGACTCCCACAAGGCTGCCCGTGGTTCAAGTCCTGGACCTGGTGGTTTGCTTTCTCACTCTCCATGCCCTTTTCTCTCTGGTCAAGTTAAAATAATAATAATGGGGACCAGTAGATGGCATCATGGCTACGTCGCTGGACTCCCATGTAGTCGACCATAGTTGGAGTCCTGGACCCAGTGGCTTAAATTCATGCCGGGCATGTGTGCATGCCAAGATCCTGAGAGGAGAATGGAGGAGAAGGGGTTGCAGTGTGGCCATCCCCCCAGGGGGTGATTTCTCGCTTTGTGTTTCTCTGTTTCTCTTTATTCTGGTGAGCGCACACACCTTATAGTTAAAACCTCTCCCTCTCAAAATTTATGATTTCTCAAAAAAGTTTATCCCCTGAGGACAGCAGGTGGCATTGTAGTTAAGGCACTGGATTCCCACACAGCTGACCAGCGGACTTGGCGGCTTGAAAATATACCAGGCACATGTGTATTTGGGCCCAAAAATCTTAGGAGGAGAATGGAAGAGAAGGGACTATGGCTTAGCATCCCCTTAGGGAGTGATTTCTTACTTTCAGTCTCACTGTCTCTTTCAGGCAAGCTCATGTGCCCTATTGCTGAAACCTTAAAAAAAAAGTTTATCTCTATAGAAATTTCAGAAACAAGACTCATAAGTGCAAAGTTAGAATTATTTTCTTTAAATCTAACTATGAAAATTCAAAATTATGACCAAAACAAACATTATTTTTTCTTTACTTTTCATATTTCTTTCAGACTTGGGACGTAGCTTTATCACGGACAGCTAGAGCATGGGGGAAAAAGTGTGTGCGTGAGCATAACACTCATTTAGAAGACCTACAAATGGCCCATCCTCGATTTAATGGTATCGGTGAAAATATATGGATTGGCCCAGAAAATGAATTTACAGCTAGTATTGCTATCAGAAGTTGGTATGACGAGAGAAAAAAGTATAATTTTGAAAAAGGCAATTGTACTGAAGACTGTTCTAATTATATCCAGGTATCTAATTTTATATTGTTATTAATTCAATAGTTTCCTTCATTGCTTTACTGCCTAGTTTTATTAATTATATTTCAATTTTTTTTATTTTTTTATTTTTTTTTTAGGTTTTTGCTATAGGCACATTCACTTACCAGAGAGAGAGCGAGACATTCCCCCAGGGAGGATGGCCATGCTGCAGTCCCTTCTCCTTCATTCTCCTTTTGGGATTATGGGTATGCACACACACAAGCCCAATGGCATGATTTTTCAAGCTGTGGGGTCCATGGCTTGAACCACTGTCAGGCATGTGGGAGTCCAGTGCCTTAGCCAGTAAACCACCTGCTGGCTCTATGTTTAACATTTGTAAATAGATTCATTTGTAAAATTGTTAGTTCTAATAACATAAAAATTCTAAGTCAGTCCTAGATCTTCAGAGTATCTATAGTTCATCCATTATGTAAGCCATACAATTAAAACATTTTTTTGTAGTAAACTGAATCTTCATAACCAAAGATGAACGGCACTTTTCTAAAAATAAAGCATACTTTAAAAGGAAGTAAGAAACCAGTAAATAAAAGTTATTTGTAGGCCCAACCCCAAGGACTAGTAGTAAACCAAAATAGTATTTCAGATGACCAACCACATGGTCCAAGCCCTGGTACTGGCAGCATGAAAAATATGCTGGTATGTGTGTGTGGATGCCCAAAATCCTGATAGGATGGAGAAATGGAGGAGAAGGGATTGGAATATGTCCATGCCTCATCAGGAGGTGCTTTCTTCCTCTCTCTCTCTCTCTCTTTCTGGCAAGTGCATGCAAAAATTTTTTAATTCATTTTTTAAATATTTGTAAATTATTGATTATAAACATAAGTAAAAGTATCTTTTTGCACAGGTCAGTATACATATGATATTGCTGATCAATTAAAACATTTTAAATGTAAACTAATAGTATTTTTTCCCTGTCTCTTGTCCAAAATTTCACTCTCACATTTAATATTTCAAGAATACTGAACACTTTCATTTCATGTACATACCTTTATTATCTCATATATCACATGATTTAATCATCTATTTACATATTTCATACAACACTGAAGGTTGAGACCTTATCTTCTCATCTATATATTGAATTGTTGGAAAAGTCATGACTTTTTTTGTGTTTTTCTATGCAAAATGAGTCATGACTTTTCCGACAACCCAAGGCCTTCTACAAATATTTGTATTCGGTATCTAAAAAATTATTTAATTCCCAGGTTTATCTAAAAGACAATTATTTTTCAGTCAATAGACTGATATATTTCCTAAAGAACTTAAAATTTAAAATTTTTCATGTTGAACTTATGTCTTTCTGTTTGATCAAATGAATAATGCTTCAAAATTTTTTTGATTAGTTCTTTCTCTTTTTTTTTGATCACTTCTTTTTTCTTAAAGAATTATACTGATTCTCCATTGTCTCACTTTAAAGCTAGATTCCTTAATATGACTTTATACTCCAAGAAGCAAACTAATCAAATATACTCTCTGATCTACTACCCTGTATTTTTTATTCTTTAATTCCAGTCTCCTAGACTTTGCCATATCTTGCATTTGACCTGTTTAGCTCTTAACTACTACAACTCTTGAAGACATACTTTACTTTTTAATGTATCACTCTATTTCTTTAAGAATCAAGCTTCTAAAACCACTAAGGCTTTAGATAAAGACAAAAAAACAGAAATAGTTATTTTTTCCATGGAAGCTAACAAAACAAGTACTTCCTTGTTTCCTTGGAAGTATTAGAAATATTAAAATCATACAGAAAATTTCTGAAATGTCTTTTATTATTTCTTTTTCATTTCAATTTAAGAACTGTTTTGTATCTATAGACATAAGTTTTTTACTTTTTTACCTTTATTTTTAATGAAAAGCCCAAACTCTTATTTAATTGAAGAATTCCTTTAAAAGAAAGGAGAAACACTAATAGTATTCAATTATTTTTTTACTCTGTATCTCTTTTCTTTACCTCCTCTAATCTTACTGTTCCTTCCATTCACAACCTTCATTTTTTCAAAACTTTTTCTCTTCTCTTTCCTGTCTTCCCTTCTGCTAGTGACCCAGAACTTTCAGACTGAATGAGAGGTTGAAAATTGATTCATCAGGTGCAATATCCTTTGGCTCTGAAGCATTATTCTGGATCAACATTCTTTAACTGTTTTTCCTAAGAATACAATATTGGTGGAATATATTAAAGTGTTTTTCTAAATACTGTCTTTGTAAATACGGCCTTTACTACATCCTTGATAACTCGCTCCCTGTGTCTAAGTGAAAACAGTTTGTGTTTCTTGAATTGCTTGGTAAAAGTTTCTATGTGACTGGAATATACAAGAGATGTTTTCAAAAAGTTAATGAAAAATACATATATGAAAAAATTATGCATGGTTTTCAAAATCATTTGTGCGCCAAATAAAGTCATGGATTAATTCCGCATTTCCATGAACTTTTTGAAATCTCCTTACTGTTATTGTTTATAATGTGACAAAGTATTTAGAATTAAATTTGGTGTTTTCTTTGGAAATTTTATTTTAGCTTGTTTGGGACAACTCTTACAAAATTGGTTGTGCTGTTACTCCATGTTCAAGAATTGGACATATTATACATGCAGCAATTTTCATATGCAACTACGCACCAGGGTAAGTCACTTTAAATTAATACAGAATATAAAAATAGAATATTTCAAAGTGAGGTTTTCATAACATTTAATATATATTAAGTGGGTTTATATACTATAATTAGATATAAGTTATTAAAGGCTTTATACTGAAATATTTTCAGTTCCACAATAAAATGTCAGGACTTGGGCATATTGATTTTGCTGATATTTTGCCAATTATTACTGCCTAAAGGAATCTGAACTCATATTATTTCATAATATCTAGCCTAATTAGCATATAATTTAAAGTCTTTTCCAAAATACTTTAATCTTTTATTTAGAATTAAGTCAAAAGATAATAAAATTAAATGTGTTTAAATTTGTGTTGTGAGGTCAGCAGGTAGTGTGGTGGTTGAGGAGCTGGACTCCCATATGGCAGACTATATAGTTCAAGCCCCAGACCTGGCAACTTGCTTTCTCACTTTCCCCCCCTTTCTCCGTGTCTCTCTAGTCAGATTAAAAATTGGTAATAATAAATAAAATTTAATTTAAAAATTATTTTAAAATAAATAAATAAATTTGTGTTGTAAAAATTGTTTTGGAAATACAACAGTTTTCTTACATGAAGGTTACATTTAATTGATCACCCCTTGGAGACTGCGTTATTAATTAAGGTTAGTTTCAGACGTAAGGAATGATAGTATCTCAGAGATAGTATCTTGGAAGAATACTTCAAAGACATAGTCAGGCTATCCATACAAACTTATATTCTTTCCATTTATTATCATGTGTCTATTTACCCTCTACCTGAGCACCTTCAATGACGGAAAATAATTACTTCCCATATAGTCTCCATCTCTGTAGAGCTCTATTAGAAAAGTACCAAGGTTTCATATAAGTCAATATGATCCTATAAGTAATGCTATCATAACTTCCAAATAGGTAGAAAATATTCTAATCAGCATCTGAAATAAACACTAAAAATGTACTACCTACTAGGATTGAAAAGGAATTTATACCAAATGAAATACTTTGGGACTAAACAACAAAATAGCATTGATTATTTATTATATTGTTCTAAATAGGGAAATCTATACAACTATGATATAAGTCAGCTTAAACTCAAAAAGCCTTTTCCTGATGAGAAATTCCACTGCCTTTGAACATAGGCATGCAAAACAAGTTTGGGGTACAGAGTCATTGCAAACTTTTTAGATGCCTTTTCATTTCTACAGTGGAAGCCTTGTCATATCTAATTCATGGAGAAACTTTGAAAATTATTTCTGACTGGTGTTGCAAATTCAAACAAGAACTGGACATTAGGTTAGAGGAAAAGGGTAACATTTTCCCTAGAGCACTAAAACTCATTTATGCACTCAACAACTGTGTGCAGTTTCTGTAATGTGTCCTAAAAAATCAAAAGTGCTGATCACGTTTAGTTTGAAATTTTGTCAGGGAAACAAGAACCTCTTAATAAATGAACACATAAATAAATAATATTGTAATTAGATACTAAAATATACCATAAAAATTATGCAAGATAAGCAAATAGGGAATTACTGGTATATAACATAGGTCGGATAGTCACAGAAGAAGGTGGCATTTGAGCTGAAGTCAAATGATAAGAACATGGCCAAAGAAGTCTATGTGAAAGTAAGAGTATGGGTAAAATCTCAGTGGTTGAAATGAGTTTAACATGTTTGAAAAATTAATAACTTGTGGTTATAGGTAGGATTGAGGTGCAGTTATGTGGGAACCAGCAGTTAGCGTAATGGCTATGTCACTGGACTCCCACGTAGTCGACCACGGTTCGCGTCCTGGACCTGGTGACTTAAAACTCACGCTGGGCACGTGTGCGTGCGTGCCCAAAATCCCAAGAGGAGAATGGAGGAGAAGGGATTGCGGCATGACCATCCCCCCTGGGGGGTGATTTCTCGCTTTCTATCTCTATGTCGCTCTCTGTCTGGCGAGAACACGCGCCCTATAGTGCCCCACCCCCCAAAAAAGAGGGGCAGTTAGGTGACAGCTAGACCAAATAACTTGGGCCATGTTAAATATTTGGAATTTATTCTAAGGACAAAACCATTGGATGGTCTAAAGCAAGTGAATGATCTAAGCTGTTTTTTAAAGAAGCTTTAAAAAATATTGAGGAGATGAGTCAGTAGGTGGTATGGTGCTCAAAGTGTTGGACTCCCACATGGCTGACTGTGGTTCTAGTCCTAGACCTAGAGGCTTGCTCTCTCTCTCTCTCTCTCATCAAACTGAAGAATAATAGCACATAAACAAAATTAAATAAGTGATTCTTTTTTAAAAAAGATGGTGTGGAGAAAAGGTAGTATAATGAAACAAGAGTACAAAGAGGAAGTACAATTAAGAGGCTGTTTCTGTAGTATAGGAATCAAACTATGATATCTTGCATTAGATTTTAGCATGTGAATTGATTTTCTATTATTGCATACTGAATTACCACAAATGTTATCATTTAAAATAGCATATATTTAATTATCACACAATTCTACATGTCATTATCCAGGCAAAGTGTGACTATATTCCCTATTCAGTGTTTCAGAGGCCAAAATTAAGGTGCCAACTGAGTTCTCATCTGGAGGCTGTAGAGGAGAATCTACTATCAAGTTCATTAGACTGTTAACAGATTTTGGGTTCATGTGGTTGTAGAATTTATATTCTCACTTAATTGCTGGCTCTCAGCCAGGAGGCACTCTCACTTTCTACAGGCTGCCCACATTCTTTGATATACGGTCTCCACCATCTTCAAGTTAGCAAAAGCATGTCAGAACCTTGCCATGCTTTAAATCTCTGACTTCTCTTCTGTGGCCAGTATTACTATTATATAATTCTATTCTATAATTTTTCCTATCTGGGGGAATACAATAAGTAGTAATGCTATGTTGTTGTTTAATACTGCCTCCAAAAGAAAATACTCTGTAAAATACCCAACTGATTGGGTCAGGCCCATCTAGATAATATCAATCTTTAAAGATTAATCATGTCATATAAATAATCATGGTACATTTACTGTCCTGGTTAGACGTGGCATGTACATGAGAGGTGAAGGATCTTGTGGCCCATCTTAAAATTCTACCACAGCATAGAAAATGTGAGGAAAAGGCCAGCCCGTGTCCTGGTGGTTGAAGTGACTGACTGAGCAGTTCATGTCCTGGACCATGTGACTTGAAAGCCTAAGGCTTTGTTCTGAAAAACTGGGTGAATGATGATATCATTAATTTATATAGGGAAGATCAGGAGATATGTTTTATATTTTGACATGTGGGATTGGAAAATAAAAGTAGGAAATGGAAATGCATCATGAGAAGGAGATGGTCTGCAGTAGGTTTCTGAGCAGAGAGAACTCCTGGTAAAAGACCTGAGCAGAAATAAGTCACAGTCCTGAATAAGAGCATCTTATGAGAGAGTGAACATGGACTCTTAATTTAAGAACTAAATGCAGAGTACTGCAATATTTTAATCTCAGCAAAGGAACTAGTAATGAAGAGAGGCTAATCAGGTAAAAGGGAAACCAAAAACATGCTGGGAAATCAAGTGAAGAACATGAGTCACGAAGCCCAAAGTAGTTAACTCTATGACATGTTACTGACATGATGAAAAATTGAGGAAGGAGAATTGATAGTTCCATTTGATAAGATAAAGGTACTTGGTGACCTTAAAAATAATGAATGGAAGGTATCCCATAACTACAGTGATAAGATTAAGCTACTAGTTGGGAATTGCCCTTTTTTCTTCTCATATATCTTTCTCTTAGGCTTTTTTGTCTTGAAGCTTCTGTCAACTATTTTTCCTTTGATAAAAATATTGGCAAATATACCATGAAAGATCAAGATTAGGATATATGTCAGTCAACTCAGTCCAAATTTTTACTTGATTATGTACTGAAAATAGGCAATTTTTGCTATCTTTCTTAAGAATCATTAGTAGATAAATCAATCTATTACAATATTATGAAATTCTGAGTAGAAATGAAAATAAGAAAGTAGATTGGAAATTAGAATGTGTAGTGGGCTGAATGGCATCCCCTACACACAGAGAAATATGACAAAAGAATGAATATTACCTTACATGGCAAAGACATGGTTAAGATAATGACCTTGAGAAGAGTTTAGCATGTATTATGTGGTAAATGCTAATTGCAATCACATATATCCTTATAAGAGAGAAGGAAGGGGTGTTCAACATTAGACAGACAGAAGAGGAAGAGATAATGTAACCACAGAGGAAGAGACTGGAATGATGTATCCACAAGCCAAGGAATACCTAAAACCACCAGAAGTTGGAAAAACTGAGGAATGTATTTTACCTTGCACCCTTTGGAAGGACCATAGTCCTCTCAACACCTTGATGTTATACTTTAGGCTATCAGAACTATGAGAGAATAAATTTCCGTTGTTTAAATACCCAATATATGGTAATTTGTTAAACCACCTATTGAAAATAAATGCAGAATGAGGTAAACAAATTTGACCATAAAGAATATACATGTCAAAGAAAACATTGAAAAAAAAATTTCAGAACACAGAGGTGAAGACTAGAAGTCAAACTATGTGAAGGAAGAAAAGAAATATGTCAGGGAGATAAATCTACAAGTTGGTATCCCTAAAGAACAGAGAACAAATAGAAAAGTAATAATAAAGAAAAGGAAATATTTCTTCTAATTTATAAAGATATGTATTTAAAGATTAAGAAAGCTTAAAATATATCAGAAAAATGAACTGAAACAGTATTTACATATAATAATTTTCTAGTCCCTATTTTTAGATTTCAAAGATATAGACTCATACTTTCATAAATAAAAAAAGACAAAGTAAAACAAAAACAGTATTAGATTAGTTTTTTTTTTTTTTTTTTTTTTTTAGTATTAGATTAGTTTTGAACTTAGGTAGTGAAGAGAGCATAAAGATGACCATGAGAATTTAAGCTTAATTGATAGTTAATCTTATTAACTGAGCTCAGAAAAGAATAATTAATCTTATTAACTGAGCTCAGAAAAGATATGGGATGCAGGAA